TCTACTTACTGAATAATTTGTTGAAAAAAATACTGATCTATACATTTCAAATCTAAATTTTCACCGTGCAATGCCGAGTAGTTCAGCTAGTAAACAATAAACTAAAATACCAATTAATGACATTTGATATACTAAGTTGTATAAACAATAAATAAATAATATACCTTTCCAAGGGAAAACATAAACATTAGATGTCTGCTTGAATGATTGTTGCAGAAGAAAATTATTTTGAAAGCATAAACCTAGCATAATATGCTTGTTTGCTCCACTCCTTCCTATCACATCCTTTGACCAAAGAAAATTCATTAAGCCACCCCTACTGTGTAGTAGCATCAGAGATGAGTGATGTCTGTATTAGAAACATGTTAGTATTTAAACTATTTTAAATTTCTAGTAGTCATTTTTTCAAACATAGTAAAAAATTGATATTTATGAAGGCATAAAAAATTAGCAAAAAAATTAAAATGGCACCTGAAATGTCCATGAAAATGTAACAATGTTAAATGTATTTGTTTTTTGTTGAATTTTGCAGGAAGTTATAGGAGGGCTATCTGCACTAGCCATCCCTAATTTTGAAGTGGATTACTTTTTATCAACAGATAATAGGATTGACCATCACATTATAACACCCATATGGCTGAAAAAGTGAGCATGTTCATTGACTGGATTTGAACATACGATTGACTTACACCTTGCATGTTAAATGTAATAGAAAGAACAGAGTAAAGACAAGATATTTAATGTACAGAGAAAATACAATGGTTACTCAATGCACAAAGGTGGACACTTTTAACTAAGTTATATCAACATGACACAACAAAAAAAGATAATCACTGACCAGAAAAATAAGTTGGAGGAGTCTAAGGGTATGTAACAGTATTCTTGGCAATTAATCTTACTCTTAGCATAACAAAATCTTATTATATCAGAAGTGGCATTGTAGTTAAATTCACTGATTACACATGGAATGATAACATAATTTTGTAAAACTAGAATATTTGAAGAAAAAACTGTGACTGTCAGGTGGGCAGATGTTTTACTTTACTATGCTACAGTGTCTCAAGTATATAATGTCTCAGTTTTCACTTTATTGGTCAGTAAAAGAACTTGGCAAGAATTTTTAAACTTTAACATTTGGCTTGTAACTGAAATTTATCTTTTAAAGCTGGAAGTCAAAATTTTAAGTATTTAAACTACAAAAATGTTAAGCATAGCACACCATCCTTTCAAGTTAAGAAGAATGTTTCTGAAGAAATGAAGAGTAAGGCCAAGTAGGATTTGAATCCATAACTCTGCTAACTGGGTAGAAGCTTTAGAAAATAAAGTCTCAGTCTTACTTCACTGGTTTTTAAGGTTGGAATCCTGTTGGACTCTTAATCTATGCCAGGTGGCTTGTAAAGCTTAGAATCTAGTTGTTTTTGTTGAAATTGTCAACTTTTAAAAAGTTTTAACAATATAAATTTTAAGGATGGTATGCCACTACTTGTGTTAATCATAGTGATTAGAAGAATATTTTACTACTATAACATCTGCATAACTGATTGCCAACAATGACCATAGCTACTTTTACTATTTAAAATAGCACTGACCCTTAAAACTGGGCAAATAACTAACATGCTGAGGAAACACTGTTAAACACGTCTTATAACGTTCAATTTGAGCACAAAACAAAAATATGATGTCGCTATCTCTGAAAGTACATTTTCAGTCATATATATCATAATGCAGTAGGGACAAAGAAATACATAACATAAACTGTTTTAACACCATAACTTTACTTAGTAATGATAAACACATGTAAAAATTGATACACATGTTCTTTGTGAACATCCTCATAGTTTGAATTAAAAACTTTACAAATTTTCTGCAACATTAACAAGCTATAGCCGATTAACTTTAATTAATGCCTTCGTTAGTGGTAATTAGACTCATAACAAGATAATTGGTAAAGATTTTTGAATTAAAAAAATTCAAGATATGGAAGAGTGTAATACCAACAAGTGTGCTAAATTTCATGCTGATATTGGCTTTAATGGTGAAGTTATGCTAATAAATTGGTGACCCCAGTGAAAAGTGCATTTTGAGAAAAAAGCTGTTAACACAAAAATAATTTATTTATGTAGAAAAGAGGTTAAACTTGAATTTAGGCCAAATTTGACAAATGTAATTTTTGAAATATTAGGGGTGCTCTAAGGGCCAGTGATACCTTAAATTTATTACAAATGAACATATATTTTACTTCTAAAAAAGTTTCAAAGAGCTGGTGAAGCACTGGCACAAATGGTTTCATGACTGAAGGGACTTTTTCAAGCCAGCAATCAACAAAAGGTTCCAGTCCAAGTATTCTTGGTTCCAAATACACCATCCCACATCGACTGACTGTTGCTGGTGAAGCTACAGCAAGATCAGCAACTTCAAACATCATTGTTTGTACCTATTATTTCATAAGTATATTTAACTGTTAATATAAAATACCAAAAAAAACCAATAATAAAAACTTTGCTAGCAGGATATATTAATATGAGAAATAAAAGATTAAAGAACTTTAGGTTCTGACTTGATCATGAAGCAATTTCATATCATACATATTAGTTACATAAATATATGAAGTAACAGCTATTTGAAAGGCTTAGAAAATATTTTAAAATATTAAAATTATGTTAATTTTTATACATTAATATTAATTCTTATTCCTTTTTTTGTATATGTTCAAAATTTCTAGTGCCTTTAATTTCGAAGTTACTATTATAAGTAGGTTTAAATTACAAAAATAACAAAATTACACCCACTTGTTTCTTACAGTATAGTTTTAAAATATGCAACCAAGAAGTCTTAAGATCTTATAATGTTCTCATGAATTAAAAACAAACATCTTTACATTAATAACATATTAATAACTCATTTACTGACTTTGTATGATCATAAAAATGTGCAAGGTTATAGATAATTATCTATACACTATTTCTGGCCACTGTTGGATTTATCAAGACTGTCAATAATGAGCAGAGACAAAAGTACAGCTCTACTGACTCTCTGTCTTGTTAAACATTGATAAGCCATAAAATGATGAACACTGACATATCCTATGGTAATACAATTGTATTTACTTTAATTCAGATGATACCATTATCAGAATAATACATAAATTTTATTCTAAATCAATTTCTCCTTAATATTTTTTGTTCATTTTTGTTTTTTACACAAACACATAGTGTATTAATTGTCGCTATAAAAAGCATGATAAACCTCTGTTAACTTGATGATTTCACCACTGCTAAGACACAGTTTCTTGTTGTCATCTAGCACAGTGTTCATGTTCTCAATCCAAACAGCATCCACAGGTCCATCAAAAATATACCACTGTTTGTCCTGGGATGTTTCACTTGCACCAGAACGAATAAGCGATGAGAGGATACCATCGGTCCTATATAAAATTCAGAATTGTACATTACAAACATAAATGTCTATCCAAAATACTATATACACAATATATATATATATATACATATTTATGAAAACTACAAAAATCTAATTTAAAGCAATGCAGTAGGAAGGACAACACAAAAAATAGCATAAATTACAAGTTACAGTGTGGGAAATATAAGATTATCTTAGGTTTTAAGCTATCTGCAAAAACAGAACCTACAAGGTATTAGAAATTCAGATGTGAGCTCTCAAACTAAGAATGAAGTTAATTTTTTATTATAAATTATTTCAGTTACAATATTGTTATATTCATGAAAAAAGTAAAATAAAATAATCTTTAGTTTATTTTCCATATATATATATAGGCATAGTTTAAATAACTTAAACAGAAAGAATTTCATAAAACTGTAATTGAAATAGTTGTGATGCATTAACTTGTTTACATATGCATGCATATGTTACAGCAACTTATACAATATAAGTAAGAAACAGTTCACTTCAGCTGTTTTAGTTAACAGTAGAACATTAAGGGTGGAGCAAAGGTAATGCTATTGATAAGTTTGACATGAATACCCTTTTATTCTAGTACGGACCTGCAAAATATCTGCGATCAAATTAGTACCTTTATTGCAACAGTACTTCTTTAAATACAGGATTTCTAGAATAATATATATATAAAAGAGGAAGTTTGTTTATTTTGTGCGCTATAGGAAACCAATCGGTTGTACTTACAAATTTTAAAATAACTTCATAATAGCCAGTTTTTTACAAGAAATTTAATGGTGCTATTTATTTTGTATTTGGTGTAGTATTTAAAGACGAAATTGACATAGAAAGCATTATGGTGGGAGACACTCAGATCACCTTACTGTCAATTCAGTATTTCCAAAAACAGTTTTCTTTAAATAGTGCTAAATGGTTTCATACGTGATTTAGTAACTTTGTGAATTGCAAATTATTGTTTAGTAATACAGGTGATTATGCCACCCAAGAAACGCCTTTTCTATGAAAAGTCTTCTGTCACTAAAAGAATGCAAGCACAAAAAGCAGCAGAAACAGAAGAAGAATGCAATCAAAGACTTCAAGTACAAGCTGCAAGACAGGCTGCTCGAATACAGGAAGAGACTTTGGAACAATGTTTAGTGATAAGTGATTAGTGTTTAGTGATACAGGTGATTATGCCATCCAAGAAACGCCCTTTCTATGAAAAGTCTTCTGCCGCTAAAAGAATGCAAGCACAAAGAGCAGCAGAAACAGAAGAAGAATGCAATCAAAGACTTCAAGCACAAGCTGCAAGACAGGCTACTCAAATACAGGACGAGACTTTGGAACAACGTAAAGTTAGACTTCGAGCTCAAGCTGAAAGGCAGGCTACTCAAAGACAGCAAGACAGCCAGAGTTCAGTCAGAATCATCAAGGCAAGCTGGATATAGACAACAAGAAACTTCTGAACAATGTCAAACCAGACTTCAAGCACAAAAATTAAGACAACTAACTTACAGAGAGCAATAAACAGAGGAGCAACATGATGTACGACTTCAGGCTCATAGAACAAGACAAGCTCAAACACGATCTAATTTCAAATAAAGCTTTGTTTCATTAAATGGTTTTTTATTTCTCCCATCACAGCTTTTGTCTACTTACTGAATAATTTGCTAAAAAAAATACTGATCTATATATTTCAAATCTAAATTTTCACCATGCAATGCCGGGTAACTCAGCTAGTTAATAATAAAAAACTGAAATAAGTCCATTGCTTTAGGCCTAACATTAGTTAAATCTTTTATTAAGCATAGCCTATATTTGATAAGGAGATAAATTAACACCATAACTTGTGTACATTTTTGCTTTAGTCTATAGTTAGAGCTAAACTTTACTGCACTTAATACCATAAATGAATAAACTTATAACATTATTCTATGACCTAATGTTGGACCTTTTTAAAATATTAATAAGCTTTTAATATGTTATTGTAAAAAAAGTCTACTAAGTAAGACCCCCTGTGGCACAGCAGTATGTCTGTGGACTTACAATGCTAGAATCCGCGTTTCGATACACGTGGTGGGCAGAGCACAGATAGCCCATTGTGTAGCTTTGTGCTTAATTACAAACAAACAAACTACTAAGTAAAATATAATTATGTATGCTTTTTGTTTACATTCATTGAAATGAAGTGTGTATGCATGCATATTTAGATGTTAAGGTGAGCACGCATTTTCAAAACTGACAAAAACTGAGTACTATTATAATATATATTTTTAGTATAATTTTTATTGATTATTATGAAGGATCATTAGTTTCTTGCAGTTTGGTTAACTCTTTTATCATTTTCTAGGCTGGAAAGGTCTACTTCAGGAGATAAGTTAAACTTATCACCCCATGATCTGTTATAATAACCTGATGGCTTCATTTCCTTTTTGCTTGCTACAGCTATCTATAAAAATCAAAATATTCACAACAAGATTAAAAAAAACAAAAAATATTTTAATTACCAGTTCTTGTCATCATTATTAATTCATACCAGAAAATATTTGTGGTCATAGCTTCCAAACTCTTTGGGGATATTCCATCTATTTGACAAAGATCTAAATACAAATGCCAAACTAGTCAGCAGCTATGGAAAATCAGTTAAAGGTTAAGAGTTGAGTGCTTGAACACACAATGTATACAATATTGTAAAAAAATAAGGTAGGGTGATTTATTTCAACTTCAAGGTTATTTCTACATCTAATATTAAGGGTGACAGCTTTCCCGCAACTGGCTGCAGACAGCGAAAGGTAATAGCAATTAACACATTGTGGGTTCAAGTACTCAACCCCTAACACTTAATTAATTCGCCATTGCTGCTGACTAGTTTGCATCTGCATTTGGATCTTGTCTGACAGGTGGAATATCCTCAATGCATTTAGGAGCTATGAAACAAATATCTAATCACTTTTGTCCTACCATGGATATACCTATAAAAATAAAAGGGTGTGTTTATGGGTCTGTGTGTGTGACTGCCATAACTCCAAGAGGAAAGAACCTAGAAACCTGAAATTTTGTGGACTAAGTGGACCCTGAGGGTGTGCACCTGGGTATTATTACTTATCTAATCACTTTTGTCCTACCATGGATATATCTATAAAAATAAAAGGGTGTGTTAGTGGGTCTGTGTGTGTGACTGCTATAACTACAAGAGGAAAGAACCTAGAAACCTGAAATTTTGTGGACTAAGTGGACCCTGAGGGTGTGCACCTGGGTATTATTACTTATCTACATGCGTGCACATGCACATCTTTTTATGTGAAGAACCACACAGAAAATAAATGTGACCACCACAGCTCCAAGAGGAAAGAACCTAAAAACCTAAAATTTTGCATTCATACTAAGTGAACCCTGAAGGTGTGCACCTGGGAATAATTATGTATTTCATTCACGTGTATGCACACGTGGGCATCTTTTTAATGAGGCAAGCTAGCAAAAAACCACATAGAAAAGAAGTAGGTCCTTATATTACAAATAGAAATCACAAACAGACAGACATACACACATGTGTGCACATGCATGTCTGTGTATGTGTGACTGCTATAGCTCCAAGAAGAAAGAACCTAGAAACCTGAAATGTTGTACCCATACCCTGAGAGTTTGCACCTGAGTATTATTACTTATCTACGTGTATGCATGAATGCACATCTTTTTATGCAAAAAAACAAATAGAATAGAAGTGGTTCCTTATATAACAACTTCTAATATATAGAAAAGCCAGTGCATTTTGGTAACAATGATTCCAACAGTGGCTTTTATATCATGTTGCTTAGCATTAAGAATATAACCTACTATTGTTATTAAAAGGCTATGTGCTGAAAGTATACAATGAAATGTATAAACTAAAATATTGAATAAAATATTCGTTGTTTTCTAATTCAGAGGCTCCATTAATTAAAGAGGTTTGTTTTTATTATTTAAATTTAAAATCAGAGGGGAGGTTACCTCCTGTAACGAAGCAACAAAAGTTTATAGGTTATAATTTAATGCTAAAATCGGTTCAGAATACATACACTGACATAGTCATCTAGAATAAATCAACCTAATAACCTGAGCAAATCTGGATACTTTCGCTAGTATATATATATACATACATATATATATATATATGTATGTATTAAGCTTCACACATACACATGAAGTATTCCTCATATCAGTGTAATTATAACACATAATTCGCAAAGACCATGCTTTTTTATACTTTCGTCCACACTAAAGGGTGAAGTTAATGTTTTAACAAATCAAATTAATTTGTTCACATACTCTACCATTTATATGCATATATACACACACACACACACACTCAGATATGTCCATTTAGTTAAACATCAGAAATCATATATATATTAATACAGGAAAATAATATATAATATTCATACACAAAGATATCTATAAAAGTTCTACAAATAGAAATATTTTTCTTTGTACTGTACATTCTTGTCATATTGGTTAATTTTTTTTCTGTATGAAATAAACTGCTAATTTTTCAATTAAATTCATTTACATAAATCACTGCAAACATACAATGATACTTAGCAGTAGACAATAATTTTCAATAAGCTAATATAAAGTTAAAAACTCTTTTACTTAGTTTAAGTATTTAATCATTAACTCTAATGTTTAAATAAGATTACAATGCTAAAAGTCAATATTTTAAATGATATTTTCAGCTTCCAACTATCTCAATGGCTGGATATTGTACTGTATAAGTACATGTATTACAAATTTAGTCTTTGAAAAATTAGTACGTTAATATTTTCCAACACTTAAAATATATTTCCAGTAGATACTTACCTCCTCTCACAGTTACAGCTATTCTCAATTTGACTGCCCTCTAGTGTGCACATTTTTGCTCACCACTAGCCTTGAACCTAATTCCATGTGTTTTCCACATGGTTTAATTGTGCTTAACCACACAAATTAGCATGCGACAACCCTCCACCAATAGGAGTACAACACACCCTCCTATCACAGCTGACTCCCTCTAGACAGTTAAACCCAATCTTAACTTCAAGATTAGTCATGAAAAAACAACAGTGGAAATGAGGTGGATGGGTGGAAAGAGTGAGAGGTGGTAAGTATCTATCGGAAATATATTTTCAGTGTTAGAAAATATTAATTTATAATACAACTACTTACCTTCTCTCACAGTTACAGATAGAATCCCACATTGAGCAGGTGGAGGGACCAGCTGATGAGCACCATTCAAAAGCATCTGAAGAGCACCCATGGAGTGTGCTACCTTTATGTAGAGCAAACATAACCATGGGAGAACACATCACATCTGAACCAGGTATACTCTTCACTCAAGTGGAGCCAACTGGTGTTGCATCACAATCAAAGGGAAGAACATGTGATCCATCCCATATCCAAAAGGAAGAAAAATGTGTTTAGAGTGGCTAGGGTGCATCAGACCATAATAGGGAGGTCAACTCCAGTCCAGACCAGTGGCACTGGGAGGAACATGACCAGCCTCTGGTAAGAGGAGGGTCCTCAACCACTCACCTTAGGTGTAGGAACCAGAAGGGAAGAAAAGCCTCTATTCCAAGAACCTAAATCAACATGTGTGCAAATCCAACACAACCTGGAACAGTAAACCTCAAGAATGTACATCTGGATGTTGTCAGGATGGTGGAAATGCAACATGGAGGGTCAATTCCAGTCCAAAAACAATTGATATTGTGTATATAATGTCCAGTCTGTGGTAGGAAGAAGTTCCCAGCCCATTCATATGTGAGAACTTATGTTGGCTGGTCCAGCTCCAACCAAAACCAGTTGCCCAGGAACAAACATCCATGTAATGGTAGGTGGGAGAATTCCCAGCCAGAGAGGTGAACTATTAAATAGAGAGAAAAATCCCGTCCAGACCCAGACCAGCAGCATCTGGAATAAAGAAATCTCACTCGATAGTGGATTATAAACAAAACTTTGATATTCAAAAATCAGTAACTGAATATTTTCAAAATGCACTAAAGAAAAAAAAAAATTTAAATCAAGCACAAGGTTTTTAACACTGTCATGCTAAATCAAGAAGTGAAGATTGGGTTTAACTGCACAGAGTGAGGCAGCTGCAATAGGAGGGTGTGTTGCACTCCTATCAGTGAAGGATTGTCACATGCTTTAATACAGCTGAACCACATGGTATACACATGGATTGAGGTGGAAGTTCAAGGCTAGTGGTGAGCGAAAATTTGTGCACTAGAGGGCAGTCAAATTAAGAATAGATGTAAGATTGAGAGAAGGTAAGTAGTCATATAAGAATTGAAATGTTTGATGCTAGAAATTAAATTTATACATGTGTTTTTTCTGGCAATCACACTATTGCCTATTAAAAACTTCCATTAGATTACAGAGTTAGTAGTATTTCTATATGTATGCAGAAATGAGCACTCATTTATGATTAAGTACCTACCATTCATGAGTTATCATATCAAATTCACCATACAATTGACCCATAGTAATGGACTTAGGATTAAGTACATAAGTATTCACTGGAGTATAAAGAGAGCCAGTGGGAGATGGCTGCCCTGCTAGACTTGTGAGGGCTTCTTTTAAAGTTTCATAACACTGTAAATGAGCATTAATATTATCTGAAACATTTAGAAATTCTAAAAACTTGCAGGATTGAATTGTTTAGATATACTGAATTTATATATAGTAAATCTAATAGATATGACACTTAGAAGTTGAAAATGTGGAAATAAATCTTAACAGCCAGAAATGTACATTTAAAGTTATAGAAACTCCATTCACTATTTTAACCAAATATTAAACATATAAGCATAAAGATTATATGAATATAAAACATACAATACAGTTTACTGCTAAAATAATATTTGGAATTACTGTTATTTCAATGCACATTTACTTAATGGACCCAGGTAAGTAGCTGGTTTCATACATGTATGAATGTATGTGTATTAGTATATGTATGCACAAGTTATTTCATTTCAAATTGTGAGAGAGATCTTATTCAAAGTGCTCATTATATACTTATATTAGTGAAACCACTTATTTTAGTTTATTGTCAACAAAGGAAAACCTAACCATTATTGTAAAATTTTTTTCATGTTTTCTGCTAACTTCTTTAGTCACAGTTCTGTTGCTCATAAAATAATACCATGGTCATATTCTGAATAAGAATATTTTGCTGTCTTATAAATTAATACTTTGATTGTGTGAAAAATACACTATGATGTAAAATACAATAATATGAAAAGTGGATTTTGTTCATATGAAAAATGATTTTAAAATCTTTGTAACTGCATTAAATATTAAAATAATGATGGTGTTTGAAGAAAAGGTAAAAACAGTGTTATCAATTACCTTATCAATAATGTTCACAGAAAATTACTTTTATAAAGTTTGCAATTATATTAGCTTGTAAAAACAAATTAATTAAAGACTAGTTTCTATTTTGCTTAACCAAGATGAGAGATCTGAAACAAATACAGATGAAACTTTTATAATTTAGAAAATCAAGGAAAATACATCAGCAATGCATATTGTTACAAAACAATCATTAAATTACATAAAGTTTATACATTGGTACAGTTTCTGTTTCAACTTTAATAACTTATAAAGTCAACCTTTAATTATTTTTCTCTGAATGTCTTTATACAAGAAAAAAGTTTTCATATATTTGATGCATATTTTAAATTGCAACTAGGAAACAGATTCTGAAATTTTGTGCAGCTATATATATAGTAATATACATTACTACAACTTGAGATGTTGGATATGCATTATCGCAAAGGCACAAATGCTTATAAGTATATTAATGCATTATGTATTGATAAACTGAGTAGATTTAAATTCATGTATTTATGTACTCTTCTTATATCTAGCTTCATTATATTCTATTGATTATAATGTTTAAAATAATTGTTTAAATTATAATTACATTTATGAACATTATATTACTGGCTAAGTATGTAGATTGAAAGACTATCCTTAATCTTCTAAGCTTGCTGAATCTTATGAGATATGGCTGAAGATATCAGAAAAGTGTATAATATGTCAATCACATTACATCTGCTATTTCCAGATATAGCCTTTTGCTCAATTCCAGGAGTGGTTGGTTGAGACACTATTTATATCAGCAAATTTCTTAGTTAGCTTACTTTTGATAATAAGTTATTAATACTATACTGAAAAATAATTTATAAGCTCTGCAGTTAAAATCTCTAAACTGGACTTTTTCAGGATAAAAACTTACATTTAATTATACCGTTATTTTTTCAGAATATTTTAGCATACCTTTGTCTTTCCTGAGCCTACAGGTCCTACTAACATCAGGCCATGACGAACTACAGTTGTATCATACAGTTGAAGACACTTCATAACAAATCCTGATATAGATATTATTCATTATCCAAACAACATTCATAATATATGATTATTGTCTCACATTCCTCAAAACAAATTTTCAAAGAGAACTAAAAATGTTCTAGTTACTATTTTGTGTATACCTGACTGTAACACCTAATTGATAAGGGTGATAACTGATATATATATATATATGCATTTCAGTGCTTATTTGGTCATGATCAGTTTCAAATATAAACAGAAGAATATATTCAACAATTACATATTGACAGAAGTTTCAAATAACATATAACTAGATGATTACTGATATCTAAAACAAATGAGCTATAGTTATGTAAAACAAAGTATATGATATAAAGAAGCAGCTTCACAAGTGGTTCATGGTTGGAATGGTAAAAAAAAAATACAAAGAAGTGAAGATGTTTTATTGATTTTAGTATTTTAACAACTTATCTCAAATTAAACTTATCTATAATAATAAAAGGGCATGTCTGTGTGTGTGTGTGACTGCCATAGCTCCAAGAGGAAAGAACCTAGAAACCACCCATACTAAGTGGGCCCTGAGGGTGTGAACAAATTCTAAAATATAGAAAAGCCAGTGCAAAAGTAACAACTCATTTCAACTATGGATCTTATGTCATGTTACTTTCCAATAAAAGTATAACCTAATATTGTTGTTAGTGTATCTACTGAAATTGTAAAATGAAATGTATAAACTACAAAATTGAAAAAAAAATTTGTTGATTTCTTAATTTACAGTCTCCATTGATTAAAGAAGTTTTTTTTCTGTTAAAACAGAAAATATATTAATTCAGAAACAATTTAAGTTTCAAATTGGATCGATATTTTTTTACTTTCATGATACATTTTATGCAGTTGCTAAAATATATCAACCTAATAATCCATGTAACGCTGGGTACTTTTGTTAGTTCCAAATAAAACAAGCACAGTGATGATACCAACCAAAAAAACAATACATGTTTTTAACTAATTAAATTTAAAAAATTATTATGATTACCTGTTATGCCAAGATTTTGTATGAATAAAAAAAAATACCAGTGAAGGTTAATATCTGAGATTCATGAAATACATCAAATAACTTTTAAGATAAAGTGACCAATTCAAGAAATATTTACTAATAAGACTAAATTGAAGCATTTTCAGCATTTTGAGGCATTTTATGCTATTTTCAAATGCTTTGAGAATTCACAAAATGAGAGATATAATTTCATAAAATTCCATGTATGATATACCTACGTGCAAGCCCCCCAGTGGCACAGCGGTATGTCTGCGGACTTACAACGCTAGAATCCGGGTTTCGATACCCGTGGTGGGCAGAGCACAGATAGCCCATTGTGTAGCTTTGTGCTTAATTACAAACAAAATTACAAACAAAACATACGTGCAATATGAAGAAAAATTGGGCACATCTAATGAATGCATATGAAGAGTTACACAATTATGCTTGTCCAAGAAAGGAAACGTGTATGTCAAGTATAGAAAAAGATTTTTTCCAGGCAGTATTGAAAATCAACTGTTTACATTATTTATAAACCAACACCACCACACCAGAGAGAGAACTATTAGAAAGTTTATATTAACTTCATTAGAGACTAGAAATTAGCAAGGTAATCAGAGACTCTGGACAGAATTTTGATCTGAAGAGGACAAGGAGAAATACATGCAAATAGATTGCCAATTTACCATCTTGGATCATAACCAATTGTTGAATTAGTTTTGATTTTAGTTCCAAGAATTACAAAAAGTCAACAAAATTCATTCAATTAAGTGACAGCTCTACTTGCATGTTGGATATGTACATTGTTTGGAGAATCGCAAGAATACTAAAGAAATCCACATAAAAAACCCATTTTTTGGGGCAAAAAGTTAGTCTCCTGGCTTGCATTAGATCGTCAAGAAATTAATGCCGCGTTTTGAAACACTTCCATTAACCATCCCCCAAAAAACGTACATCACGTATAATAGTTAAACGAACTGCCTAAACTAATAATGGCTGGAGACGGCTTGAATGGGTAATGAAGAAAAACTTTAATATAAGTTTAACATAACAGCAAATGTACAATGTTTCGACAAAGTTTTGTCATCAGCAGGTACCCATTCAAACTGTCTCCAGGCATTATTAGTCTCAAAGTGGGTTCCTCGTCATTGAATTTGAACTGCCTAAATGTCATGTTAGTGTAGACTATATAATGTGTAAAGTTTAGTATACTCTAATCCCTTGTAGTGATGGCACACGATGAGACACACATTCGGCATGTAATGCTGTTTGAATAAAAGAAGGGAAACAATGCCTCTGTAGCCACAAAGAATATCAAACAAATTTATGGAAATGTTTTGAACGTCCGTAAGTGTCAACAATGGTTCAGCAAATTTCGTTCAGGTAAATTTAGCCTTAAAAACTGTGATG